GGCCCTTCAGATATTGAAAAGTTGCTCTGAGGTCTCCACACAACCTTCTCTTCTCCAGGCTGAACAGCCCCGACTCCCTCAGCCTGTCTTCATAGGGGAGATGTTCCAGTCCTCTTACCCACCTTGTTGCCCTCCTCTGGACTTGTTCCAACAGTTCCATGTCCTTCTTATGTTGAGGACACCAGAACTGCACACAGTATTCCAGGTGGGGTCTCATGAGAGCAGAGTAGAGGGGGAGAATCACCTCCTTTGACCTGCTGGCCACACTCCTTTGGATGCAGCCCAGGATTCCATTGTCTGAGCTGCTAGCACACACTGCTGGCTCATGGTGAGCTTCTCCACTGTCACTCCCTAGTCATTCTCCTTGTTTCTGGTCTCACTTCCCCACCCAGCCTGTAGGTGTGCCTGGGATTACAATGGCTCAGATGTAGGACCTTGCACTTCATTTTGTTGAATTTCTTGAGGTTTGCATTGACCCTGTTCTCAAGCCTCTCAAGGTCCCTCTGGATGGCACATCCGTTCCCTCCAGTATGTCGACTGCCCCACACAGCTTAGTGTCATCAGTGAACTTGCTGAGGCTGCACTCAATCCCACTGTCCATGTCGCTGACAAAGATGTTGAACAGTATCGGCCCCAGCACCAACCCGAGGGGCACCACTCATCACTGGCCTCTATGTGGACAATGAGTCGCTGACCACAACTCTTTGTGCGACCATTCAGCCAGTTCTTTATCCATCAAGTGGTCCATCCATCAAATCCATGTCTCTCCAATTTAGAGACAAGGATGTCATGCAGGACAGTGTCAAATGCTTTGCATAAATCCCCATAGATGACATCAGGTGCTCTGCCCCAACTCCATTTTGCTTTTGAACGTATTGTTTTAAAAGCTTCATTTTCGTTTCTGTGTTCTAAGACATTAATATTCTATGAGACACCTTTTTTTTCTGAATGAATAGTTCTTGCTTGAACTTCTTTTGAATAGTTTGGAAGAAAAGTAATCAAACTTATGAGCTCTAACATGTAGCTGTTAGTAAGATCTGATGCCTCAGGATCACTGTCTTTGTAAAGCTGACCTTGATAACAGTTTTTTTTCTGGCCTTAGTATCTTGATCTATTTGTCTGTAAATCTAGAAAGGGTAGAAGGAATCTTAACAGATTTGTAAATACTGTTTCTTTTCATACATAACTGACATATTCTGGCATTGCGTCCAGATAAAAGAATTTTGCTGTGATATATTAATAATACTATTACTTTTGCTTTAGGCAACAGCGAATCCACCCAAGAGACCTCCTGATGCTGTAATTTCTGATGTCACAACATCTGATCAGGTAAAGCTTTATGTGCTTTAAGTGTGGAAATGTTTGTTTTGTTTGGAGAAGGGAACCTTAAAAAATGTTAATAGCACATTTTCTGATATACCTCAGATAAGTTTATGTGTATGTATGTAGCAAAAACTTCTGCTAGCTCATGGCAATGTGTTCAATGTACTGTGTAAAATGTTCTTTTCATGAGAGTGATGAAATTTTGTAATAGTTTATTACAAATTTTACATAGAAGGAGGAAATGAACGTTTGTATACTGTTGTACTTTAAAAAAAAGGGTTCAGACTTCCTGAAATTTACAGCACATGATGCAAACGAACACATTGTGACAGAAAGAAGTGCTTGTATTTCAGTTATTAAAAAGTTATATTTTTGTAATAAAAGGAATCAGGGAAGCCTGAAATACTGACAGATGCTTTTCAGGTATGTTTTCATCTGTCCACATTCCCACTGGTTCACAGGCATCTACTTTCCCCATCCAGAAACCTGAGTAATGACATGGAACCTTCTCTCCCAGTAAACATGTTCAGTTGTTGGACAAGTAAGATAGGAAAGTCTTGAGCTGCCAATATTAAGACACTGAGTTATATTTTCAAAAGTAACAGAGTCATGGCAGGAGGCTATAGGTTTTGGAGATGTAATCAGAATGTTGAGCATCAGCTGAACTGTGCTAACTGTGATGTCTGCTTAGCCTCCCTCTGATTATATATGAAGTCATTACGTTTCAACAGCTGATTCCTGGGCTTGAAGTCCAAGTTAGCCCTACCCACTTACTTAAACCAGGAGAGAGAGCCAAGACAGGCATTTCTGGTTTTGTGACTGATGTACTAGCTGCATCATTAAATTCATAGCATATGTCTAGGAGGTACAGATGTCTTAATTCTTCTGAATAGGCTTCATTGAAAATTGGCAAGGTGAGCAAGGAGCAGGGAGTGGTGAGAGAGTACTTTGTTCCTGGAAGGTGGTTAAATGTAGTGAGGATGCTTTCTAGCATCTGACCCTTTATTTGATAAGATACAGCATCTGTAGTGGCCCAGTAGTCAAAAGTATTTAATTTGAATGTTGGAACCCTAGTGCAGGTTCTCCTCTGCATGATTATATTGGGTTTGATTTCAGGCTCATCAGTTTTCACATGATACTTATGATCCCTTTGTTCATGCCGTAATTGTAGTTTCTGAGCCTTAAATCCTTATGTCTGAAATTGTTATTATGCATAAAATGCTAAGTTCATGAGATAAAAGAAGATGGTAATGGCCCTATAATGCAGAAGTTGGGAAAATGTGCTACTGCTAAATTGGGTTTTGGAAATAAAAGAAGGGGCTGAGAGTAGCCACCAAACTTTTTTTAAGATCTACTCTGACAGGTAGATATAAAGAGAATTCCTCTCCAATTTGCACTTACAGGAGCCACAGGCAGTGGACTTTGATAATTGCAAGAAGGCTTATCTGGGAAATTATTCAGTAACATCTGTGCTTCAGTGATGATGCCTGTATAGAGGAGGGATAGTGTGTAGAACTTGTGATCTTTGTAGACAGGAATACAGACTTTCATGACAAGGACAGCTTGGGGAAATGTTACCAAGATTTTACATTTACGTGCCTGCGGGATGACACATAACTGCCTAAAATCTTTCTTAAAAAATGTAAACTGGCATACAAATTGTATCAGAGTTTCTGAATTTCTTTTTCTTAGTGTCTTAACTGAAAAGGGTGTTGGCAGAAATGACTGTTGCCATTCAACCATTGGATTGGTACAGAGTATGAGACAGACTGGAAAGTCAGTTTGCAGATGGCATTTCATTCAAGTTGAACTGTAGTAATATAGAGTGATAGTTGTGACACTCAGTTTTTGTGTGACAACAATTGCATGGCTAAACTGCTCTTAATAATTAGCATTTCCCCCCCTTAACTTTCACAGCATAGTCATGTAGTAAGCTAACTGGTAAGTTGACTTTCATGCCCATTTTATAAATATTTGAGGTGATGACACACCTGTGTTTCACTGAAGACAGTCATTGTGGTTACCTTGAAAGTTATATTCAGTTCTAACTCAACTGCACTGGGTTTATTCTAAGAGGAAGAGCATTTCAGACCAGATGAAGCACTGCTTAGTGAAGAGGATACTGGGAACAGGGCTAATTTTGCCCTTCACCATGTGTTCAGCAGAACAGAGGGTACAGCCGCCTACAGTTCCTTGAAAAATGTCTGTGTTGTGTCAGTGACCATTGGCAGAACAAAGGAATCCTTTTGATTAGTGGTGTCAAAGACTAATAGCAGGTGGTATTAGGTTCCCCCCTTTAAAAATCTGTACCCATTTCTGAGAAGTTCTTTGAACACCATCCAGTGCTTGTGAATGAGTTGCAGTACCATGGTGTAAGCTGCTTAAATATGAAAAATGGTTAAGAAAAATTTGGAAGTATCTGACCTTCAAAAAGACTTTAAGGCTTAAAATTTGCATCCTGCT